AGGGGCTGCGCATCGCCGAGGCGGAAGCGGTGCGGCTTAAGGCCGAGCAAGAGGCGCTCTTCGCGCAGCAGCGCGTCGCCGAGGAACAAGCGGTCACGACGGAGCAGGAGGCGCCTCTCCCGGTCGAGGTCGACACGCGATCGCTCCGAGCGGAGGGCCAGCGCGTCCTGAACAGCAAGTGGGCCGAGCAGGCGGAGCGCGAAGCGGCCTGGACCGCGGCGTCCGTCGCGAGCCTCGAGGGGCTGCGCGTCGCCGAGGCGGAAGCGGTCGCGAAGCTCGAGCAGCTGCGCGTCGCCGAGGCGGAAGCACCGCAGCTCGAGACGGAGCAGCAGGCGCCTCTCCCGGTCATCGAACGGAGGGACGAGCTCCGAGCGGAGGGCCAGCGCGTCCTGAACAGCAAGTGGGCCGAGCAAGCGGAGCGCGAAGCCGCCTGGACCGCGGCGTCCGTCTCGAACCTCGAGCAGCTGCGCGTCGCCGAGGCTGAAGCGGCGCGGCGCGTCGCCGAGGCGGAAGCGGTCACGACAGAGCAGGAGGCGCCTCTTCTGGCCGAGGTCGACACGCGATTACTCCGAGCGGAGGGCGAGAGCATCCTGGAAAGCAAGTGGGCCGCGCAGGCGGAGCGCGAAGCCGCCTGGACCGCGGCGAGCCTCAAGCGGCTGCGCGTCGCCGAGAAACAAGCGGCGCAGCTCAAGTCCATGGGCGGTGCGTCCGGCCCCGACTGGCTCTCCGGCTCGGCAGCGGCGTCTTCCGCCGCCTCCGCTACGGATGAGACGCGATCGCTCCGAGCGGAGGGCGAACGCGTCCTCGAAAGCAAGTGGGCCGAGCAGGCGGAGCGCGAAGCGGCCTGGACCGCGGCGTCCGCCGTGAGCCTCGAGGGGCTGCGCATCGTCGAGGAGGAAGCGCCGCAGCTGCTGGCTGCCGAGGAGAAGAGGCTATCGCTCCGAGCGGAGGGTCAGCGCGTCGTCGCCGGCCGCCGCACGCGACAGCTTCGGACACCACAATCGAGCCCTCATTCATGGACCACATTCGAACAGGAGGCGCCCCTCCCGGTCAAGGACGACACGCGATCGCTCCGAGCGGAGGGCGAGCGCGTCTTGAACAGCAAGTGGGCTGAGCAAGCGGAGCGCGAAGCCGCCTGGACCGCGGCGTCTGTCGCGAGCCTCGAGCAGCTGCGCGTCGCCGAGGCGGAAGCGGTCGCGAACCTCGAGCAGCTGCGCGTCGCCGAGGCGGAAGCGGTGCGGCTCAAGGCCGAGCAAGAGGCGCTTTTCGAGCAGCAGCGCGTCGCCGAGGAACAAACGGTCACGACGGAGCAAGAGGCGCCTCTCCCTGCTGAGGTCGACACGCGATCGCTCCGAGCGGAAGGCCAGCGCGTCCTCGAAAGCAAGTGGACCGAGCAGGCTGAGCGCGAAGCGGCCTGGACCACGGCCTCCGTCGCGAGCCTCGAGGGGCTGCGCGTCGCCGAGGCGGAAGCGGTGCGGCTCAAGGCCGAGCAAGAGGCGCTTTTCGAGCAGCAGCGCGTCGCCGAGGAACAAACGGTCACGACGGAGCAAGAGGCGCCTCTCCCTGCTGAGGTCGACACGCGATCGCTCCGAGCGGAAGGCCAGCGCGTCCTCGAAAGCAAGTGGACCGAGCAGGCTGAGCGCGAAGCGGCCTGGACCGCGGCGTCCGTCGCGAGCCTCGAGGGGCTGCGCGTCGCCGAGGCGGAAGCGGTGCGGCTCAAGGCCGAGCAAGAGGCGCTTTTCGAGCAGCAGCGCGTCGCCGAGGAACAAACGGTCACGACGGAGCAAGAGGCGCCTCTCCCTGCTGAGGTCGACACGCGATCGCTCCGAGCGGAAGGCCAGCGCGTCCTCGAAAGCAAGTGGACCGAGCAGGCTGAGCGCGAAGCGGCCTGGACCGCGGCGTCCGTCGCGAGCCTCGAGGGGCTGCGCGCCGCCGAGGCGGAAGCGGCACAGCAGCTGCGCGTCGCCGAGGCGGAAGTGGCACAGCTCGAGACGGAGCAGGAGGCGAGCCTCCCGGCCGAGGTCGACACGCGATCGCTTCGAGCGGAGGGCGAGCGCGTCCTCGAAAGCAAGTGGGCCGAGCAGGCTGAGCGCGAAGCGGCCTGGACCGCGGCGTCCGTCGCGAGCCTCGAGGGGCTGCGCGTCGCCGAGGCGGAAGCGGTGCGGCTCAAGGCCGAGCAAGAGGCGCTTTTCGAGCAGCAGCGCGTCGCCGAGGAACAAACGGTCACGACGGAGCAAGAGGCGCCTCTCCCTGCTGAGGTCGACACGCGATCGCTCCGAGCGGAAGGCCAGCGCGTCCTCGAAAGCAAGTGGACCGAGCAGGCTGAGCGCGAAGCGGCCTGGACCGCGGCGTCCGTCGCGAGCCTCGAGGGGCTGCGCGCCGCCGAGGCGGAAGCGGCGCGGCTCGCGTCGCCGAGGCGAAGAGGCGCTTTTCGAGCAGCAGGAGGCGAGCCTCCCGGCCGAGGTCGACACGCGATCGCTTCGAGCGGAGGGCGAGCGCGTCCTCGAAAGCAAGTGGGCCGAGCAGGCGGAGCGCGAAGCGGCCTGGATCGCGGCGTCCGCTGCGAGCCTCAAGCGGCTGCGCGTCGCCGAGGAACAAGCGGCGCAGCTCGAGCAGCAGCGAGTCTCCGAGGAACAAGCGGTCACGACGGAGCAGGAGGCGCCCCCCGACTGGCTCTCCGGCTCGGCGGCGGCGTCTTCCGCCGCGCCCGCCGAGGTCGACACGCGATCGCTCCGAGCGGAGGGCGAGCGCATCCTCGAAAGCAAGTGGGCCGAGCAGGCCGAGCGCGAAGCCGCCTGGACCGCTTCGTCCGTCGCGAGCTTCGAGCAGCCGCGCGCGGCCGAGGCGGAAGCGGTCACGATCGAGCAGGAGGCGCCCCCCGACTGGCTCTCCGGCTCGGCGGCGGCGTCTTCCGCCGCGCCCGCCGAGGTCGACACGCGATCGCTCCGAGCGGAGGGCGAGCGCGTCCTCGAAAGCAAGTGGGCCGCGCAGGCGGAGCGCGAAGCCGCCTGGACCGCTTCGTCCGTCGCGAGCTTCGACCAGCCGCGCCCGGCCGAGGCGGAAGGAGTCACGATCGAGGGGGAGGCGCCTCCTCCGGCCGATGTCGACGCGCAATCGCTCCGAGCGAGCCCGGCGGAAAGGAGGCGCGCGCTCCGAGCGGAGAGCCAGCGCGTCGCGGATAGCGAGTGGGCCGACCAGACGGAGCGCGAAGCCGCGAGGACCGCGGCGTGGGCCGCGTGCCTCGAGGGCCTGCGCGTCGCCGAGGCGGAAGCGGCGCAGCTCGAGACGGAGCAGGAGGCGCCTCTCCCGGCCGAGGACGACGCGCGATCGCTCCGAGCGAGCCCGGCCGCGGGACGGAGGCGCGCGCTCCGAGCGGCGAGCGTGCGCGTCCAGGATCGCGACTGGGACTCGATCGAGCGCGGAGCCTCCTCGACTCCGCTGCGCGTCGCCCAGGAAGAAGCGGCCCAGCTGCTGCGGCGCGTCGCCGAGGAAGAAGCGGGGCAGCCCAGGGCCGAGGAGGACGCGCTCATCGCCGCCGCGGACGAAAGCCGCGCGCTCCAAGCGGAGGGCGAGCGCATCCTTGAAAGCGAGCGGGCCGAACCGGAGCGCGGAGCCTCATCGACTGCGGCGTCCGTCGTGAGCCTCAAGCGGCTGCGCGTCGCCGAGGCGGAAGCGCCGCGGCTCGAGGCCGGGCCGGAGGCGAGCGTCCCGGCCGCGGAAAGGAGGGCCTTCCTTCGGAGGCACGCGCTCCGAGCAGGGAGCGATCGCATCCTGGAGAGCAAGTGGGCCGACCAGACGGGGCGCGATACCGCGCGGACCGCGGCGAACCTCAAGCGGCTGCGCGTGGCTGAGACCACGCGGCGCGACTCGAGGCCGGGCAGGCGAGCCTCCCGG